CAGACTTGGATGTTCACACATCAGTAAGATTTTAGGCCTTAAAATAGATAAGCCCCAAGCCCTTACTGAAGGAACATAGAAATGTAGTAACCTCAAATTTTAGATATCCATTTCTGCGATAGAACCATCTCTCATCTGTGAAGAAATTCTTCTGGTTATATAGAAAAAAATTTTTAATTTTGAAATAGGAAAATTAAGGTATTCAAGGAGAAACAAATTCTTCAATGCTACATTGATCGCCGTACTAGAAAAATGTATAACTCCTCAATCTACACATCTACCTTCATCAAGCTGTTTCTTGATGCATCTATTAACTTGCATTAGAACATGCAAATAATGTATAGTAGGTATGAGATTGTTTAAAAAATCCTAACTGTCTTAGCTTATATATTTATGAGTTCATGGAGTTTCCTGTATCAATTTTAGACACAAGGTTCTAAATGATCCTATAATCTTTCCTAATATTTGTGAGATTGATAGATCATCTATCTTTTCATTTTATATTTGCATTTACTAAACATGTTCTCTTCTGACTTCATATTCATACAAGCTCGCCTTCCAAGGTACAAGGAAAAGTAGGAATTAATAACCACCAATTAAAAATATAACTCACCTAGTACGTCAAGGTACAACTGATCCCACTTCTTCATATCATATCCTTGGAAACAACAGTCAAAATAAAGCACATATATCATATTTTTTACTCTCTCCATGAATGTCATTTGATCACTTAATTCTGACATAACTACAGGTACATAGGAAGGAGGGAATAGAAGTCCTCCACCATGCTTCTCAAATGTGTAGCCAGAAGAGCAGCGGAGACTATACACAAGCGGCGTTTTAAGTATCTCAGCCAGCAGGTCAGCACAGAAACCAACGCCATCTGCAAGGAGGACATCAAACTTTGACTCTTGTAGCTTTGTCATAAGTTTCTTGTTTAAAACTGCATCTTTACAAAGCTGTCTCATAAGTGCAGAAAATCCCAAAATGATTTCTTCTGTTTGTGAAATCTGTGACCAAAATGTGTCTTTTGGAAGATCATATATTGCTCTATCGAGCAGTTTCATTAAAAAACCTTCAAAGTCATCTTTACTTAAAGATGTAGGAAAAACTTCAAATTTGATAGCAGATGTTTTGCTGGGATCAATCACAACAGACGCTGAAGACGCCAGTACAGTCACCTCGTGTCCTCTCTGGACAAGTTCATCCAGGATTATCTTCATATTCATCCAGTGGCTGTATTCTGTGGGCCACACCAGCACCTTTCCACAAGTCCCAGAGCGAAAGTAACCGCTCAGCTGCATCAGCAGAAGAACTGAAGTCCATCGCAGAGCCATCCTGGTGCAGTGCAATGCTTCTTTTCAAATTCCTTTTCTCTCTGCCCTTTCTCATGCTTATATCCATGTATAAATCAATCAAGTTAAAATTTAACTCCTACGATTAAAAGTAAGTACATTACTGAACAGTCTGAGCATGTGGATGGCAAGTGGACATATCAAAGTTAGATGAGGTCGTATTTACTCAAGTGTGTTCAATGTCCCTTTTATATTTGTAAGTGCTTTATTCCGGCTAATTTTGATGATCTTGCATGAGTAAGCAATCTGTTTTATG